TTGAATCCCCAAATTCATGTCCACCTGGGACCTCCGAATGTGATCTTCTTTGGACACAGAGTCTTTGCAGATACAATTAAGGAGCTGAGAACATACTGGATGAGGGTGGGCCCTAATTCCAGTGAAAGTGTCCTTCTAAGAGACAGGAAAGGGTGAGAACACAGAAAGGGAGGGATGTGACTGTGGAGGCCAAGGTGGGGGTGGGGTGGTTTTCTCGTGTGGTCTCAGCTACGGGGTTGACTGTCTATGATCCAAGAGAGGCTGAGGACTGCTGGCCTGGAGAGAGGCTGGGCTGCTTCTCCTTCAGAACCTCCAGAAGGGAGCCATCCTGCTGACACCTCGAGGTTGGACTTCCAGCCTCTGACTCTAAGAGAATACGTTTCTGTTCTTTTAAGCCACCCAAGTCTATGGTGATCGGTTATAGCCACCCTGGGAAACCAGTACAGAGAGGGGAGAGAAAACAGTCCTTCCGAGCCCGACTGTGGCTCAGAACCAGTCACTGAAGCAGGAGCAGGGCTGAAGCAGGTGCTCTGGGGGCGGGAGGGGATCTTCTTCATAACCTGGGACCCTCAGGGCAGCCTGTTCACCTCCAGCCTCCCCACCCCCCATGGTGCTCTGCCTGGTAAATTCCCGGGGATTGTTGGCACTTTGGCATAGGGTGGAGATGGGGCCAGGGGGCCTCCCATCTGAACAGGTAGAGTGAGAAAATGAGACCTGTTCTATCTAATGGCCCATTCATTGACTTAATCAACAATTCACTCACTGAGGAACTAGTTAACTAATTAATTGATTAACTAATTAGCTGGAAACAAAGCTGTGTGGGTCCTTTCTTCCCTTTTCTCTAGTTTATTCCTATATTCCACCAAAATCAAATGCTTCTCCTAAAACTGAAGCCCTTTCAGTGAGGTGGAGAGAAGCTCTTCCACTAATTCATGCTCGTGTCTCAGACTTTTTTCAGTGATCTCGTGGCTTTTTTATCAACAGGGTATTGGAATTTTAAAATTGAGACCTGGAAAACTCAGTCATTACTCACTAGCGCTGGTGATGGGATCAAGGGAGGGACTCCCTCTGACCTAAGCTCAGCCCACGGCAGTGATTCGGCCCGAATCTGTTGTGACAAGCTAAGGGAGTGGGCTTCCCTGTGCTGTCTGAGGTGGCATAGGATGGGGTTTGGTTCAGAAGGAATCGTGAATTGAGGAAACCCCTTTTGCCCTTGGGTAGCTTCACTCCCAGTTGTGCAGGAGAAGCCTGGAGATGGGATAGCTTAGCCCAGGGCTTCCTCTTTGGGTGGAATTGACCTTGCGATGGTGGCATTTTCCCCAGTCCCTTCCTCTGGGGCTCTTTAATGCCAGTCTGAACAGTCTGAAAATGGAATCCCTGGGACCCTTCCCCATCATCATTATTATAATAAACTCCAGGATTGTAGCCGTGGAGCCTCAGGCTTCAGGAATGCAGACTCTAATTACCTCGCTTCTAAATGCTCCTGGTAATGGATGATGAGGCCTCGTACATCAGACCAGTTAAATTGTTGTGCAACTCGGCCGCAATTTAACTCGGCAGACAACATGCTCAGACCTGGCATATAGAGAGAAAGTGAACTACTTGGGAATTGTTAAGTTTTAGAACAAACTGGGAAGTGCCAGAGAAGCCTCTGGAAGGGAGAAGTTAAATCAGTGAGGTCTTGGACCTGAATTATTATCCATGACCACCTCCTTTTACTGCCCACCTGGCTCCATGTTCCAGGGAGCAGAGCCTGGAGGCTGTAGGAATGCTCAGCCTCTCTGCCAGGCGCAGGGGATGAGGAGGGCTGGAGATGGGACCACGCAGGGTCTCTGTCCTCTAGGAGTTTATGTCCGGTGAGAGGTGGACACCCACACATCTGTTTCATGGACCACACTGGGATCCAGTCCATAGAGTTACAAACGGAGGATCTGGGGCTTAATGAAGACTGAGTAATCTTGCCATATGGCATGGGAAGATTATGGAAGGGGTTACAGGGAAAGAATATCCCTGGTGGTCCAGGTTCAACCCCTGATCAGGGAATGAAGATCCCCCATTCCATGGAGCAACTAGGCCAGTGCTCCGCAACTACTGAGCTTGCATGATACAATTACAGAGTCCATGCATCACAATGAAAGATCCCACATGATGCAATAGTGCTAAGACCCGATATAGCCAAATAAATAAATAAACAAATAAATATGAAAACAAGACCTTGACTTTTTTTAAAAAAAAGAATATCTGAATTGCTCACTAAAGAATGCACAGGGTTTGGGAAGGCTAAAGGGAAAATTAGAGAGTGACCAAGATGCCTCCTTAGGAAGGAGGCTGTGAGTAACATAGCATGTCACTAGGTGAGTGGGCAGGTGAAAAGGGAGGGGGATAAAAAGAAGGTGGCACTATTTCCAGGAAGCTGGGGCCGGGCTGTGAGGCCAGATTCCTTCCTTTTCTCAAGGCAGCATACATGAGCAGGGCTTGCCAGTAACACCGGCCGGAGGCATACCTGGTCCCTGGGGTTGTACCTCTGAACACGGGCTGGTCAAGCTGGGGCCCGGCGTGTAGGGCAAGGGGTCCAAGTTAGCTCCACATGAAGTCAACAGAGCTCAGACCGGCTGGATGGCTTCAGAGCTCCCGGGCACTACCCCTCCACGCTCCCTGCTGCCATGTCCTTGAAGTGGGACTCTGGCATTTGCGTGGTCATCTCTACCCCTGGTGTGATCCTCTCCTCTCCTCCCCACTCCTCTTCCCGAGTTAGGATCGGAAAGGGTCAGCCCCGCTCCAGAGAATTTGACCTTGGGGTGAAAACCCAGCGGCAAGGAGGTTTGCAGGCGGACTGCAGCTGGCCATGTGCAGGTCAGGGACACTGCGCTCCCTGGGGCCTGTTCCGTCTGCACAAACGGATATGTGATGTGGCACGTCCTGCCACCTCAGGATGGATGCTGTTCAAGCTCCGAGGAACCACGGGGCTCTCGCCGGCCTCCCCTCGACCGACTGCCTTTTCCTCCTCTCTGCTGCCTTTCACTCACTTGCAGGCCCTGACGGCTTCCAGAGCTCCTTATACGTTTGCTGTGTATCCTTATTTCCAGATTAGCTACCATGTACACAACGTGGAGCGTCTCTGATTTGAGGAGCAAAAACAGTGATTACTAGATTGGTTCTCTCTCGCAGAATGCGGAGGAACAAACAATGCCACACAATTTTAGTTTGTATAGCGTCTTTCAAACCACGCAATGCCCTGGGCACAGCGCGGAGTTGCTGTAAATAATACAATCGCTGAGATGAACATTCTAAACATCTTTGCATCGAGCTTCATTTCATTCTGCCATACTGGAGGTTGGAATGAAGGAGTGGGGGCCGGTGTGGCCCCAGACCTGGAGGGGAGTGAAAGGGGGCGGGAGGCTGGAGGGGTGGTGGAAGGGAGGTGGGGGATGGTGGCCTGGAACAGTTGTGTTTAAATGAGGGCAGGAAATGGGCTACAGAGCAGGGAGAGGTGGGAGGAGTTGGTCCTGGACAGGGAGTGGAGGCCGGAAGGGTTGCTCGGGAAGGATGCACCGCCACCTTCCGAAGGACTAGGAGAGGCAGGTAGAAGGGGGGCAGGAGAGGTGGCTGCTTTTATGGAAGGCTTTAGGGAGACTTGAATGAACACGGGGTGGTTGGGCTGCCTGTGTTACTTACATAACCTGCTGTGTGACTCAGTTTTGTCTCCCTGACCTTGGTTTTTCCATGAGGGGGTCATAGCAGTTGGCCACTAAGTTCCATGGCAGATCTGATGGTCTCTGAGCCATTGATTCTGTGGCTCCCACAACCCCGCCCCCCGCCCCCCAATCATGTGAAACCATCAGGGGTTCTGACTGCTTGTCCTCTGCCTGGGGGTAAAGGGCAGAATACCCCCTGCCATTGCCCCCACTTTCTGCAGCAGGAACCCCCTCTCAGCTTCCAGTGGAGCAAACTCCCCACCTTCTGGACTGGCTCTGGAGAAGTGGAAGGTGAACTTGAGAGACTGCATGTCAAAAGGATAACCCAGCTGTGTCTGAATGCTTCTGTGGGACGTTGGGCAAAAGCCAACCTCTCTGACTCTCCATGTGCTCACTGCAAATGGGCAGAAAAAACCAGGCACAGCCAGTCACAGGATTCTGGTGAGGATTCACTGAAACAGCATGTCCAAGGTCCCTGGTATACAGTCTGGCATAAAGTGAGTTGTACAATTATTGGCTCAGACGGTAAAGAATCTGTCTGCAATGCATGAGACCTGGGTTCGATCCCTGGGTGAGGAAGATCCCCTGGAGAAGGGAATGGCAACCCACTCCGGTATTCTTGCCTGGAGAATCCCATGGACAGAGGAGCCCGGTGGGCTACCGTCCATGGGGTTGCAAAGAGTCTGACACGACTGAGCGACTAACATATGGATGTTTCCGGGCTTCCCTGATGGCTCAGCTGGTAAAGAATCCGTCTGCAATGCAGGAGACCTGGGTTCGATTCCTGGACTCGGAAGATCCCCCGGAGGAGGGCATAGCAACTCACTCCAGTATTCTTGCCTGGAGAATTCCCATGGACAGAGGAGCCTGGCGGGCTACAGTCCATGCGATTGCCAAGAGTCAGACACCACCGAGTGACTCTCTCTCACACACGCACACGCACACACACATTATGGTGATGATTTTAGTTACAGCTGACGATGATTCATCCACCGAGAGGGCATACACAGCCGGGGGGGGGGGGGGGGGGACTCGGGTGCGCTTGGGGATGGGGATAGGCGGCAGGGGTGCAGGGACCCCCTGCGCTGGGCCCGCCCGAGGCGCCCGCTGTGGCTGCCTCTGGGATGGGCATCTGTAACTCGCTCACTCTCATTTTCAAGTTGCTGGAGTTTTGTTCATCAGTTCCTCCTAATTTGGGTGAAGTTCGCCATATGGAGAGCAGGGAACAGTGTTAAAAAAGCTTTCACACATAGATAGCGCAGCGCTTTCTCTGCTAAATGAGGACTCTCTTCCCCAGCGCAGATTTCACACGCCGATCTCCAGGGTGTTGAGTTCCCTCCGCAACAGGGGTGGAGTTGTGGAGGCTCCTGGAGCCATTGTCTCCAGCCGGCCGGGTCCTGTTCCGACCCCAGGAGAAATCCCATCTTCTTTTTCCTCCCCAGGGGTGAAGTTTTCCAGCCCTCTCAGGTGAACCGACTGCGCTTCCAAGACTGGGCCAGCCTGCGGTCTTCCCACCCCGGCCCCCGCAGCTCGGCTGCCGGCCCGGCACACTGGGGTCTCCCGGGATCCCTCTGGATGCCGCTCTGGTTTCCCGTCTGGAAGGGAGCTGGGCTGTTCTGAATTGAGCCCAAGCCCCCTGTTCCCCAACCTTCGGTGCAGTCTCTAGAACTTTCTCTTCTAGCCAAGACATCTGCCACAGTGAGACTCCCTACCCCCCTCCCCCCCTTCCTTCTTCCTGGCCTGACTGCACCAGAAAGCCTGCTTTCCTTGTTGAACACCAGTCTCTTCATTGGTCCACTGGAGGCTGAACCGGGGCTGCCCTTGCCCAACAGTGGGGGCACCCTTACTGCCGGGGCTTCTGAAGGCTCTCTCAGCCAGTTGGACCACATTCCTTCCCGATGTCACTCTCTCCCGCTTTTGTCTGCCTGGGTGGGGCTGCAGTTAGCTAGGAGTCAGGGGCAACTTGTTTGGCCTCAGCTTCTTCCTTAGTGATCATGATATGTGTTGGTCCTGTGTATTACTATCTCATTTCCTACTTTGCAAAAGCCAGGCAAGGTCTGTGTGAATATCCTGATTTCAAAGAAGAGGATCTAAAGACTCAGAGAGGTTAAGTGACTCGTGCAAAATTGCACAGCCAGTTAGCGGCAGAGAGGAGGTTCAAATCCAGATCTCCGGACCCCAGATCCTGGGCAGTGTTCATCAAGCCTGATCTCCTGATCATTGCCTTAGTGCTAACACCCCACTGCATTTAAAGATGTTTCACACTTGGTTTAGGGACCAAAACTGCGTAGAAATACAGTTGAAGACTGAAACTGCAAAGGCTCTGGGAAGAGAGTCAGCATTTTCCTAGGCTGGCTGGCCTTCTGGAAGGGCGTCCTGTGTTAGGAGAGAGAGGTGAGGTGGAACTCTGCCACCCACATGGGTTTGGCTCTCCTTGGGACCCCTGCACAGCACTGCAGGGCCTGACTTTGCCACCCCGAGGGAGGAAGAGGAGCTTGAAATTGTTTCTGAGATGTTTTCATTGATTTTCTTTAATGCACAAAAACGTTTCCATTCCCACATGGGCTTAGTTGAGGGGGACAAAAGAAAAGATTTGACACAAACTTAGGGGGCTAGGTGGAACTCAGGGAGGGAGCCTGAGTGCCTTGTCGATTGCCCTTCAATTTATCAGTATTTTCCTGGAGTTCCTTTGCAAAGCTCTCTGCTTAATCTCGCTGCTGGGTGGGGATTGGATGAAGAGATGTGGCTCTCTGGGTTCCTTGGCTTCCAGACCAGTTTAAGCCGGCAGCTCTGCCCCTGCTCTGTGTTAAGTGTAGCCCCAGAACTGTTTGGTCTTTCTTTAAGAGCATCTGGCTTTCTGGCTAGAGTTCTAGGTCCCCAAAATGAATGGGGGGGGGGTGGGGGACATGGTGTAGCTGGCGGCCCTGTGTGGGGCACAGGACCCGATAGGAGGCCTCGTGGTACCTAGAGCTCTGGTGCTCTTATACCTGTAATTTACAAGGGTCACAATTCTTCTCCATGAAACTGCTGTCTGGAGCACTGGTCAGGTTCCAACAATGCTTACAAATGACATGAAAATAAAAATATAAAAGGAAAGCATCATGGTCAAATTTTATTCCCCCCATAATCAAGATCTTAAAGAAAGTTGCCCCAGATGGGTGAGCAGGAGCGAGGGATGGCAAGAGGGAGGAAAACTAGGATCCCACCTCTCTGCTCCCTGTTACCCTTCTCCTGAGGGCTGCTGGGCATTCTGGGGCCCTCAGGTGAATGTTCTCCAAAACCTCCAAGAAACCTCCATCTCAGTTTCCCTTGCTTGGTTCCTGGTTTAGGTTCTCGGACTGTTGTGACAAAGTGCCACCAGCTGGGAGCTTAGTACAACAGAAATGTATTTCAGCTCTGGAGGCTGGAAGTCCAAGATCAAGGTGTCAGCCAGGCTATATCCCCTCAAAGGCACTAGGGAGGGGCCTGTCCCAGCTGGGTCTCTCGCCCAGCTTCTGGCTCTGGGAGAACAGCCTCCATCTTCACACTACTTTCTCCCTGTGTGCATGTCTGTCTCTGTGTCCGAATTTCCCTTTTTTTGTAAGGACACCTGTCACATTGGATCAGGGCCCACCCTAATCATCTCATTTTAACTTGATTACCTCTGTAAAGACCCGACTTCCAAATAAGGTCATATTTTGAGGTATCAAGGGTTAGGATTCCAACATATCTTTTTTTTTTTTTTGCAGGAACACAATTAAACCCTACCAGGCTGTCTCTTCCCCAGACCTGGTTTTTTTTTTTCCCCAGTAAGCTGTCCTTTAAATTTGGAAGGGACTTTACAGTCACAAACTGCTAGTGCAGTGAGAAAAACTGCTAGTGTAATTGGGATTCCCAGGTGGCTCAGTGGTAAAGAATTTGCCTGCCAGTGAGGGGACATAGGAGACACATTCGATCCCTGGGTTGGAAAGATCCTCTGGAGGAGGAAATGGCAACCCACTCCAGTATTCTTGCCTGGAGAATTCCATGGATAGAGGAGCCTGGTGGGCTACAGTCCATGGGGTCGCAAAGAGTCAGACACAACTCAGCATGCATGCATGCAGTGAGAAAAAAACATAGGCTAGAAATTTGTGTAGGTCTGTGTTCAAACTCTGGTGCTCTAATTTACTAACTATGGGACTGGGGAACCCATTTCCTCATTGGAAATTGATAGTAATATTTCCATTTTATTGGTCACATTTGAGGTCTGATGAACTAAAGGACCTGGCATGGTGCTTGATACATGGTAGGTGCTCAAGAAATGGAGGCTGATTATTATTCTCCCTTTTTGTGGATGAGGAAACTGAGGCTCAGAGATCACCTAATCTGGGGCAACATGGATGCCATCTCTGCAGACTGGACCTTAGACCTTGTTTCTTCTTGTGTCCCATGTGGTTATGGTACTACCCTCATGGTATCACACTCATTATATATATATATTTTTAGCATATCTTCTTCCCTTGCTAGACTCCAAGTTATTTGAGAACTGTAATTAACCACTGTAATTCACTTCTTTTTGTATTTGATTTTTATTTCAGTAAGATATACCTAACATTAGACTAACCATTTTAAAGTTCAGTGACAGTAAGTACATTCATGGTATTATGAAACCATCACCATCATCTATTTCCAGAATTTTTTCGTCTTCAGAAATGAAAACTCTGTATTCATTAAATACTAACTTCCCCTAGCCTTTGTTTCTATGAATTTGACTACGCTAGGAACCTCCTATACATGGAATCATGCAGTATGTATTCTTTCGTGTCTGGCTTATTTCACTTAGCATCGTGTTTCCAAGATTCATTCATATTGTAACACATGTCAGAATTGCCTTCCTTTTTAAGGCTGAATAATATTCCATTGTATGTGTACCCCACACTTTATCCATTCATCCATTTATGGAAGTTCATGTTATTTTCACCTTTGCATGTATGAGTGCTCAGTCATGTCCAACTCTTTGTGACCCTCTAGACTGTAGCCTGCCAGGCTCTTCCATCCATGAGACTATCCCTGGAAGAATACTGGAGTGGGATGCCATTTCCTTCTCCAGGGGACCTTCCCAACCCAGGGCTCAAACCCACATCTCTTATGTCTCCTGCATTGGCAGGCAGATTCTTTACTCAGAGCCACCTGGGAAGCCCTCCTTTCACCTTTAGGCTATTGTGAATAATGCTGATATGAACATTGGTGTACAATTATCTATTTAAGTCACTGCTTTCAATTCTTTGGGTATATACCCAGGATTGGAATGTCCAAATCAAACCATATTCACCTTTGTATTCTCATGATTAAATGCAGTACCTTTAGAATCTTATTACTTAGCAAATGTTTGTTGAATGGATATAATAAGGAATGAATGATTGAATGAGTAATCGAATAATGAATAAAACAAGGAACAGAAAACTTACAAGGAAAGAGGAGGTCATCATAACGTGGGAGGATAAGATGAAGCCCATGGGCCAGATTACCAGGAAGGAGAAGCGAACGGTCAGCTTTTGTAAGAACTGTCTAACAAGCTTTTGTAGTGTCTCCGTGGTACACAGGCAAGGACTCAACCAAGACACTTGCTTCATGCTTTCCTCAGAGAATTCTTTCCCAGCTAATGAAAGTACCAATAGGTTGGTGCTCTTGATTAATTACCGTGCTTGAGAACACATTGGAAAGTGATTTGGAATTTTGGACTTCAGGCAGCAGCCCTCCTCACCCACAGACAGATCGGGGTCTCCCTGGCAAGGATTTCCCATGGCTCCTTCAAGTACCTGCTCCTAGGAGCTCGAGCCTCTTCCGTGCCTCCCAGAAACCCCTCCATGTGCTGTCTATCTCTTCTGCTCCTCTTGCATCTGACACCAAGGTCATACAGCTGAATGTGACTTTATTTGTTTTCCTTTTGTTTGGAGCTGAGGACAAGCTGCCCGTCTTCCTCCTAGCCCTGGATGCCGGGAGGCTGTGATTGGCAGGGGCCCAGGATGAAAGAGAAATGTGCCTTAGGTAGCAGATCTGCCAGAAAAATTCTGGCTGGTCTGAGCTCATCTCACCCCATTCTTGATGGCAGGAGTTTCGCATTTCTCTGGGCATCTCCCTCTTCTCATCCCTCAGCCAGCCCCTAAGAAACTCAAATTCCAGAGGCAGCAGCATTGGCTCTGAAGGTTTCTTCTCATTCTGTCGCTCAGATGCGGCCACCAGTTTGACAAGGAGAGTACCCGGAAGGGTGGCATGGGGCCGGCGGCATGGTGACCATGAACTGTGTAGCCAAGGCTTACCGCTGCAAACTGTATATGAAAAATGGCAGGATCTCGCCCACCTTCTCTCTCTAGGTAGATAAAGAAGAAGCCAGTGAGAGGAAGGACATCTTTTCTCCATCAGACCTTTGTCACATCCAAATGAAAGCAAATCCCCGTCTCGAGAGACCCAGAGTCTTCCTTATTTTATGTTAAAGCAGGAGAGTTGGTGGGGCAGTGGCAGGGGGCTGGGGTTGGGGAGGGCAGGCCCAAAGGGGGGGCAGAAGGGAGGAGGGGGCACAGGCTGGGTGAGTAGGAACTCAAGAGCTCTTCTGCACAACGAGATTAGCGCGATGTGAGCATTTCCATGCCAAGGTGCTAACGCAATAATACACGCGAGTTTGCCAACTTTTCAAATTGAATGTATTTGATTATTTGCTTTTAATTAGTGTGAGTTTTGGAGTATGTACAGGATTGTCAGGGATACACGCAAAGCCTCCTACAGCCCATGAAGCCTCCCCTCGGTAAAGACGGGCCGGGATTGTTCTTTTTGAGCTGTGGAGAATGAGATTTAACAGCTCTGTTAAATGTTTTAGCCCATTTCCATTGTGCCTCTGTTTCAACCTATTGGCAAGACCAATTGAAGTGAGAAAATAAACCTCTTATCTGATCTGAATGCTGAGCGCGGCTCCTAAGAAGAATTCTCCAGCTCAACTTCGGCTTTCCACGAACATCCCTGTTTAGTGCTGTGCTTTCTTTTTCTTTCTAGAGTTGGCTATTAAGCTGACTTTTTCTCTTCTCCCTTTCTTGTAAGGACGTTTCAGGAAACATCTATACATATGGGGGGAAAGAAAGTGGGCATGGAGAGGAAAAACAAAGAGAAGAAATGTGTTTGTATAAATTTAGAAGTGTTTTGAGGGCTCTTTCTATCTGCTGGAGACTTGAGAGGATCCTGGGTTTGGTGCCTGTCCAGACAGCAGGCGAGGCTGGAGGCCCTGGGAGGCTGCAGAGAGGTTGGTCTCGCCAGGCCAGGATGGAGGGAGTTGGATTTGAGTCTCTGAGCCCTGTGCCGCCATCTGCACCTCGGGGGACAGTTCTCTCCTGGCCGGTGTACCACCTACGGCATCTTTCATTCCAGTGTTTATTTTACCCAAGATCTCAGCTGCCCCCCACAACTCCGACCCACTTCCCATGGGAGTTTTGCAGGCAGTGGTCCTTTACAAAAGCCAAACAAATCCTTCTTTAGTCACCAACTTCAAGAAGCAGAACGAGGTGGAGAAGTCAGGGAAGCAGCTTTTTCCCATCTCTTTATTTTTGCTAAAGAGGAGAAGAATGTGATATGAGGCTTGTTCCATCTGCAGTGCTTTTTTTTTTTTTCTTCCCCAGCCTCCTCAGGCCAGGCTCTCAGTTAGCCTCTGCCCCAGGACACCGGGGACACAGACCGAGGCTGAAGCCCACCCTGACGTGGCTGGCCATTTTGTCCCTTCCTGCCCCAAGCCCACGTCGCTGTCCCAGCGACTCGCTTGGGCCACGGAAGAGCCGCCATGGAGCAAGGCAGCAAGACCGCTCATACGGAATTCTGTGGACGGCCGCCCGCTCACCCATTACCTACACAATCTCTCAGTTACATTAAAAAAAAATCTTTCCCCCCCTTAACAATAGAGAGGAACAAATGGTTGACAAATAACAACAGCAGCAGCTCTCCAACAAAAGCACGCAATTATTACAATTATACTATCCTTGATTAGGCTGCCATGCATTGCATTTCAATGTAATTGATGTTGTAGGTTGACACATCGGACACCAAATATTCTCGCCTGTCCCTTCTCTCTTTTGTTTCAGAAGCTGATTTGCATTTTCTATGCTTTTAGTAATGAAGACTTAGCACTTTTCCTCCATTAGAAAAAAAAAGAGAGATACAATAATCTGCAACTCGGCACTTGTTTAAGGATTCTGACCCTCGAAAATACCACTTTGCTTCACACATTAGCTGCTTACAAAGAAGGAAGCTAATGTATCATCTAATTGGGCAAACCACTGCATCTGATTTCTCTCAATCAGACTATTAGCTTCGTAATTACCCATCTGCCTCGTGTGGAAAAAACGGCAAGGCGCACACCCAGCTAATAACGTTCTCAAGAGCTCTCCACCGCAATGAGAGGAGGCGCCGTGGAGGGATGCGGGCTCTAACCATTTCGGTGCCAAGGTGGTCACACAATGCAGGGGGGCTTTGCCAACATCCCCCCTCCTGAGTGCGTTTCATCATTCGTCTTTAATTAGTTGGAGTTTGGGGTGGGGGTCTGTTCAGGATTGCTGTTCCTGCTGCCGCTGCGGTGGGTGGCAGCGGCCGCCGCGGATGCTGAGGGATGATGGCCGCCGGGAGGTGGGATACAGGCTACCATGGCCTCTGCTGGAGATGCGGGGGTGAAGGAAGGTGTCTGGGGGCTTGCCGGGGGTCCTCAAGAGGGAATGAAGGTTCCACCAAGATCGAGCAGGGGCTTCTCTTGTCTTTCCTTTTCTTCTTCTGAGGTTGGACTCTTCCTTTGCCCGTGTGGGTTGAAGAGACACCCTTTGCGCCCCTGCCAGGGCTGGCCAGCCGGAGGACGAGGACACCACGAAGCCCAGAACCTGTCCCCCGAGTCTGTGTGTGCCCTGGCTTGTCACCATTTCTTCTGGCTCACTTTCCAAACGCCTTGTTGTTTGGTTCCAGGTGGCCAAGCTGTTCCTTGGTCTGGAGCATGTGACCTTGGGCAAGTCAGGAGGGCCTCCTTCGCCCCTCCCCCATAGGCTGGGGAAGGAGGTTACATCTGCTCATGTCCTCAGGATGCGGGTGGCTGGCAGGTGGATGCACTTGGGAGGGCAGGTGGGGTGGATTTTGGGGTCAACTGAAGTGGTTGTTGGGGCACCCTAACCCCTCAGCTATGCCACCCCACTGGAGTGGTTCAGCTCTCTATTTGTCTCTATGTCATTTTATCTGAACATTAAGTTCCAGATAAAAATTTTGAGACTAACTGGATGCACACAGTCTGGCTAGTAATGTCCAGTGTTAATGTCTATCTCAAGTCAGTGAACCGAGCCTATGCCAACACTGCTACTTGCCATCTAGCATTGTGATAATTTAGCCCATAGCTGCTGCCCTGGAAGTAGGAGGTGGTGGTGGTGCTGGTTTAGTCACTAAGTCATGTCTGACATTAGCAACCACATGGACTGTAGCCTGCCAGGCTCCTCTGTCCATGGGATTCTCCAGGCAAGAATACTGGACTGGGTTGCCATTTCCTTCTCCAGAAGTAGGAGGTAGCATATCAAAATGGAGTCTTCTAAGGCTGATACGGTGATGACTTTTACTTCTGTGGATTTCTTTTTGTAGCCTAAGTTTAACTGTGATATGATTTTTAAAATTTGTTTATTATTTATTTATTATTTATGTGGGTTCTAGTTTCCTGACCAGAAGTCTAATCTCTGCCCTTTGCATTGGAGGTGTGGAGTCTTAACTACTGGACCACCAGGGAAATCCCATGTCATGGTTTTAAACACTGATATCTAATATTAAAGTACTAGATTGAGAACAGAAATTTACATATTCATTCTATCACTCAGAGAAACATTTTCTAAAAACCCTATTGTATGTGTATGTGTGTGTTTGTGTGTGTTGTGGTGAAGAGTCCTATAGATTATATTTATATTGGGCATAGTCCCTGCATGGAACTTTGGTAAATAAAAGGGAAGTTTGTCCCTGAGACAAGTAAAAGACAAAGTCTTAGGGTTCGTCTGGTCTTTTTCCTGGTGGAGACATGACCCAGTCATTCACGAGCTTACCTCAACCGAGTAACTTTTATCTTCTAGTGCTCAGGCTTCCAGCGATCAGTTCTTTTCAACTTTACAATACCCTCTTGAAAGAGTTTGAAAGTGAAAGTGTTAGTTGCTCAGTCATGTCAGACTCTTTGTGACCCCATGGACTGTAACCCACCAGGCTTGTCTGACCATGGAGTTGTCCAGGTAAGAATGCTGGAGCGGGTTGCCATTTCCTTCTCCAGGGGATCTTCCCAACCCAGGGATAGAACCTGGGTCTCCTACACTGCAGGAAAATTCTTTACTGAGCCCTCAGGGCAGCCCCCTGAAAGAGTTTGGTTGATCTGTATTATCTTTCCCAGTCTATCTGTAGAGAAATTAGGGAACTTAACAGCCACCTGTAACTCTTAGGGTTTAGGAATTTTGTGCAAGATGCTGTCACTGCATCGTATAGAATCTTATAAAGATCTAAAAATTCCTTCCAGGTTATCTGTTTAGTGAAAGATTTGGCTTCCCTTGCACTATATGTACCCCATGTATTTTATAACTGATCCCCCCCCCCCGCTTTTTTCCTTTGGCTGCAAGGCAGCTCAAAGACCAAATTTTAACCTATCTCCACTGACTTAATAAGACTATATGTCTTATGTTTTATGTGTGAATGCTACTAAAATATTGTGCTTTTTCTGTTTATAATCATATCTTTCCTTTGTTTTCACTCCTGCAAATACTTATTTCTCTTAAATCTTTTTGTATTATATGCATTTTTGGGGTACAGTATCTAATGCTTCCCAGGTAGCACAGTGGTAAAGAATATGCCTGCCAAGCAGGAGGTGTGTATTCAATCCCTGGGTTGGGAAGTAGAAAAAGCAACTCGCTCCAGTTTTCTTGCCTGGGAAATCCCATGGACAGAGGAGCCTGGCAGGAGTTGGACACAGCTAAGCACACGCACACGCACACGCAATATCTAAATACTTGATGGGGAAGGCTCTGGTAGAAACAAGAACCAGAGAGGTTAAGTGATTTGTCTACGTTACACAGGAATGAATGAGGTCAAGAAATCTTCCCACTACTTAACAGCACGTTTTCCCAGATGCTTTGATGCTAGCTACGAAATCTGCTAAAATGAGTTTTACTTGGGATCTGCTACAGCCTCTTAATTTCTCTTTGGCAAGGTTCATGTAATTTGTCAGCCTCCAGACAGCTTTTCGCTCTTCCCTAGGGTGCGGACCAGTGTGAACTGATGAAGCCACATCCAGGGACAGGAGTAAGGGAAAGACGCTCTCATGGCCTTCTGCGCTCAGGACTTGCGCTCCTGGTCTTCATAGTTGTGGTTTCAGCCATCACTTCTGTCATACTCTGAGTCGCCCCCTCAGGGCTCCTCCTCTGAGAAGGAGGAGTTTGCTGCAGCCTCTGCATGACTCCAAGGTCAAGAGGAGAAGGGACTTGTGTGTCCTGAAGGAGGGGATGCAGAAGAGCAGAGGACAGGTTTTCTGCTTCAGACTCTCAGAAACCTCCCATCAGCTCCCTCCTCACCAACAGCTTGTGAGAGCCCCTGGTGCTTGTGAGATGCTTCCTGGGACGTGCTCTTGTGCATGTGTGTGTGCGTGCTCAGTCATGTCCGGCTCTTTGCAACCCTATGGGCTGTGGCCTGCCAGGCTCCTCTGTCCATGGGATTCTCCAGGAGAGAATATTGGAGTTAAGCTGCTATTTCCTAATCCAGGGGTTCTTCCCCACCTAGGGATCGAACCCATGGCTCCTGCATTGCAGGTGAATTCTTTACTGCTGAGCCGCCAGGGAAGCCCTTGGGACATGCTCTTATTTTAGCCTTAATACTGATTGTCAGTTTGGATCAGGCCTTTAGCAATCACCTTGATTTTCATTTGCCTCAAAGCATAGTCACTATTCTCCAGAGGCCAGTAGTCCCAAAGGACTCCCCTAGGGAAAGAGATTCCCTAATACAGCCATTCCAAGGCTTTTGGAGTGGAAACATCCTCTCAATTGTTCTTAGCCTGCCCATTTCCTCTCTACCTTTTTATTGAAAAGTCATATGACCTTTTTGAATAAATATAGTTCTTTTGAGAATTTGATTATCATTACTTCTCTCCTCCAACTTAGACCTGGGAAAAACTGGGCCCAAAAGACAAATACTTGAAACAGACCCAAATGCAATTTTATAATAAACTCTAATCTGAACGACTCACAGGAAGTTCTTCCCTGTCTCTAACTGCTGTCCCTCCTACTCCACTTTATTTCATTTCCTCTAGGTCTTTCCTTAGAGGAGACGAGCATCATATGAACACCCAGATAACTGGAAATACAGCCAACTTTCTGTGGATTGTAAGTAGATTATGTTGCAGTTTATCGCTGGCAAATCTTGCTTTCATCTCTTAGTTAACATCTCCATTGCTTACTTAATTTCTTTATTGCTTTTATAACCATTGCCATCTGCTCCTGAGATTGGAATTCAACAGGAACTAGGAAATTGAAACTTTCAAAATGAAAGTAATGATTTTTGAGGCCAATCAGACTGGAAAGATAGAGATCTTAGAGGAGAGAGAGCTCTGCTTAAAATGACCACAGCCTACTTAGAGTCAAGTTGGCCTTAGCAACCTCATGATCGTCTTTCACTAGGCATATTGATGTGAAAAATCAAGGCCTTGATCAGGTAAGAGTCTTGTCAGATGTCACAGAGCTACTCGGTGGCAGCTCTGATACGAGGATCCAGGTCTGGGTATCTTTATAGTCTATCATGATTCTTACTTATCAGCCTGAAAAGTAAAAT